TAGGTCATTTTCCAAAATTAGTAAATTTCATGTCAAATTTTGAGGACCTTAATGGATTCAATTGAAAAAACTCAAAACTAAGGGATTGTATATCTTTTCAATACATTTCCAAATTGTACTCATTTGTGTCCAAATTCAAAAATATGAGCGAGTTATGAACTTTGGAATTTTGAGGCATTTTATTGAAATTTGACAAGTATGCAAAATGGCCAATTCATGAGAACTCGAGTTTCAGCCATTCCTTTTGTTTCTAATCAAGCCCATGAACAATTTGTGACATGCTGAGGCCCATTACACTCACCATTTCATGCCCATGTACTTCTTGAACTTGCTTGAATGAAAAAATACAAAACATGCTCAATTTTGCATATTCACCAACACTTCTTCATTTCAAACAATCATGAGATGGCATTTTGAGCATGTATTTCTGACCTTATTTGGCTCACAAAACGCACAAAAGGCAAGCAAATGCACGAGTGAGACGCAGGCTCCATGTGCATCCTCATTTTTGGCCAAAACTACCAATCCTGCCCTCCAACGGATTTGAGGTTGCATTTCCACTTCTATGCTCCTCTATTAACTCTATATAAGAAGAGGCAAGCCTTGTTTTATACTGGACACGCTCCCATTACAAGAATTTCAGATCTGAGTTTTCCACCATTCTTTTGCAATTTGCTTCGATTCTCTCAATTCCTTGGTGTTTTCTTCAAAATTCTTGTGGATTCAGCTTCAGTGACGGGAGGAGATCAAGCTAGCACCATTTGTTTGCACCTGGAGTGAAGGAGACAGTAGAACACTTTTTGCCTTGAGGTAATAATCCTAAAGTTTGATTTTCGAGATGTATTTGTTTATTGATGTGTTTGAGCTTGGATTAGTGTTCACTGATGTTGTTTGAATGTTTCTGAAGCTTTATAATATTTGATTCGGTGAATTATGCATGATTGAGTGCTCTGAAATTTCTGATTCAGGATGTTTTAGCTCATTTTCGTGGCTTGATTGTGAATGATATAGTTGATGTTTCGATTTGATTTGAAACGCGCAATGTAGTTTGTTATCAGAGCTTTAATTTACACTTGATTTCATTAATTTTGGTGGAGAAATGAGTATGTATGATGGATCTGAATATGAGCCCTAGGACCGAGTCTTGCACGCGTTTTTGAGTTTGTCCAAAGGTTAAAGATGATGTGGTGGCGCAATATGATTGGTCCATTTGAATATTGTCTTATTTGAATTATTTGTTTTATTTGGTATTATGTTTGATTTTATTTTGTGATCAAAACATTTTCAAAAATCATGAAAAAACTACCATAGGCCAAAAATAATTTCTAGTATTTTTCATATTTTTTTTGGAATTTTTTAAAATGTTTTGATTGGTTTAAAATTTCATAATTTTAATTAATTGTCTGTTCAATGATTATTTTTATTTTAATAGTTCTTTTGATCTAAAAATTCCACAAAAAAATGTTTTGGACTCATAAAATAATTTAGAAATTGATTCTGATTTTTGTTTAGCATTTTTTCTATTTTTGATTAGAAATTTAATTTGAGAAGTTTATTTGAAATGTTTGCTTCATAATTTTGTTTTAATATTTCCTTTAATTCAAAAATCCTCAAAAAAATCATATAAGTTTGTTTTTAATCATAGAGTATGAATATAATTTTATTTTGACCTTTTTATGACTTTTGGCTAGGGTTTGCATTTTTTTCATTTAATAATAGTTTAATTGTTTAATTGTTTGTTTGATTTTATTTTAATATTTCCTTTAATTCAAAAATTCCACAAAAAATCAGGGATGTGTGTTTTTAATTATAATATTTGAATATAATTTTGGTTGGATATTTTTATGATTTTTTATTAGAATTTTACTTTGAGATGTGATTATTTGTTTAATTGATTAATTGTTTGAATTTGATTTTATTTTTGACTTTTCTTTAATTCAAAAAATATGGAAAAATAGGTATTCTGACCTCTTGAGTTTTGTCATGTTTGATGTATATTTGTTCCGAATTTTTTGAATTTTGATCTTATCTAATTAATATTTAAGATTAAAAGTCAAATAATTAGGGTTTTGTTGCTTATTGTGTAAGTTTCAATTCAAAAACCATTATGCCCTGGATTTTCAATAGAATTTAGGTCTTGATTATGGTTCATGGATGTATTGAGGATCTGAAAAACATTTCTCTTGAATTATTTCACTTTGTTTGATATTTTTCCATAAATTATTTTGAAAACTTGTCTAGTTTTGATAGTTTGGCCAACTAGTTTTGAACTTTGGGCCTCATTTGATCCCCTCCTCAACTATTCATGAACTTAAGACTTTCTTTCTGACTTCTAAACACTTCAAAGATGCTAAGAAATTTTTTGTGTGAATTATTGATCCTTGTTTCTACTTTTGATGTATATTTGAAGTGAAGGTACCCAATTAATGTTGCATATCTTGTTGCAATTTGCTTGATGGCCAATGAACTTGAGTGGGGCCTATAATTGGGTACCTAATGATCATGTTGGTTCTGTTTATCCACATAAACTCAATTCAATTCACTTAGAGCCCCATGTTTGAATGATTGAACCTTTTGATGCATTGTGTAGGATTCCTCTTCTATTATGCTTGTGAGCTGTAATGAAATAATTGAGTATGATTGAATTGTGGTTGCTACTGACCTTCATGGTCTATGATTATATTTTTCTCAAGATCCCATGATCCTTGATTGATATTCAATTGTTAACTCAACATGGTGATAGAAAGGAGCAACATTCCTCTAATTTTTGACCAAATTGTGCATATGCATGTTTCCTTTTTGTCTATCATATCTAATATTTTGATAGTTGCTATCATGTTTCCTCACTTCATTATGGTGTCATCATCCATCCCTTATGTGAGTCATCATTCAATTTATGGGAATACTAACTTGGTTGTTGAATGTGCGAGGTACTTTGAGAAAAGTTTTCCATTTTTGACTTGAGGCTATTGTGTTTCACTTTATTTGTGGAACACAATTTATTATATTGGCACTACTCTTGTGCTTGTCATATTCGATAGTCTATGCAGGATATATGTATATGATTATGAATGCTATACATTGCCCATGGAATCTGATCATATCTAAAAATCTCAATACTTACATCCTGATGACGTAATTTCTGACTTGATTTGTCTGCTGATGCCAGTTTGCTTGAAGTTCTCTGGGTTTCTTTTATTCTTGCTCAGTTGCTACGGATAGTTATCTGTTTGGTATTGCACTATTTCCTTTCTTCTATTTTCATTTTGTATAGTTCTATGTTTCATGATGGGACCTCTGTTGCTGATATATGTTAGGAGGCCCTCTATTTTTTGTTTGACACATGTGTTGTATTTGTTTGTGATTGATGAGTCACTCAATTTAGAAATTGAGATCACGACTTCGCTCTCAGTAGATGTTCCCTATAGGATGTTTATTGTTTTTCTTCTTTATCTTGTGATCGATGAGTCACTCAATTTAGAAATTGAGATCACGACTTCGCTCTCAGTGCATGTTCCCTAAAAATTTACTATTTTTCTTCTTTAACTGTTGATCGATGAGTCACCCAATTTAGAAATTGAGATCACGACTTCGCTCTCATTGTCTGTTCTCTATAGGATAGTTTTGTTAAGCTTCCTTTAACATGTTAATTAAGGTAGGAATCCATGTATGCTAGCATAGGGTAGGATTTTCCTTTATCCTCAACCTTATGGTCAATCATTGTATGATAATACTAGGGATAGTGCTAGGCTAGTTTCCCTTAGTTGTTTTTTCTTCCTTTGCATTTTGCATCTTAAAACAAAATTGTTTTCTTGGTAAATCATAAAACACCTCTAATAAACTCAAACCCTTGTTCAAGGTAAAAGATACAAATCAATCTTATTTGTTTGTGCGCATCTTGGTTTTGTTTTTTTAAACCTGTTTTAGCCGATGTTTCGCCATCTCACATTTGTTTGAAGCCGATGTTTTGTCATCGCACATGTTTGTTATCCTACTTTGATTCTCAATATCATTGTTAGGTGTGATGTTTTGTCATCCGTTTTATCGATGTTTCCCCATCTTTTCCATGATACCTTGTTATCTTATAGCAGATGTTTCGCCATTGCACATTTGTTTGAAGTCGATGTTTCGCCATCGCACATTTGTTTGAAGCCGATGTTTCGTCATCGCACATGTTTGGTATCCTAATTTGATTCTAAATATCATTGTTAGGTGTGATGTTTTGTCATCCGTTTTATTGATGTTTCGCCATCTTTGACATGTTACTTTGTTATTATTTAGCTGATGTTTTACCATCTCATTTATTTGTTGTTTTATTTGATGTTTTTCCATCTTGACTGTTTTTGTTGTCTTAACTAAAAAACACAAATCAACCAGAATATATGATCCGAACTACGGCTGCTCTGATTCTTTAAAAGGGATACGTAGGCATTAGGGTAGGGCCCAACCGAACATAACTTTTATTTTCCCTACATTGTTTTCTTCTTTTCTTTCGTATGCATTCCCTTTTTAGTTTTTTAAGCCATAGACATAGGTTTTAACCACACCCATTAGATTAGACAACAATAGTGGATACCGTAGAGTACTACGGACGTGTGGGGTGCTAATACCTTCCTCTCGCGTAACAAACTCACTTACCCGATCTCTTGGCCGAAAGACTGATTTCTCCCTTTTCAGGTTTTCTCGATGTTTACCTTTCCCTTTCGGTGGGATAAAAGACGTTCGGTGGCGACTTCATTGATGTTTCATTACACCAGATGACCGGTTCGGCCAGGCGGTTTCAATATGCAGAACTTTGATCATACAGGAACGCAATAACAATGTCACAAAAACTAATGGAATGGAATTACAATTAGCTTATAATATAGCAGACTCTAAAACTTATTCATATCCATAAATTACTGCATACTTCTCATAATCATTTAAGGGACCTGGAGGAAGAAATCCCTCAACTCCGTCACGGCCAAGTCATACTTTTGATGCATAGAATGGGAGTTCAGTCACCTATAACAAAAGACTTTGTTAGTCCTTTTGAAAAATACTTATTTGAGCTTCAACTTTGAGTAGAAAACCCAACAACACATAATACTACATTCTATTAAAATTATGATAGGGAAGAGCATCTCAGATTATCTTAATTTAAAGCAGATTTTTAATTCCTACCTGTGAATCAACATATGCACATGAATGATTTCGAACTCTCCTTTCAATGTCTGAAGACATGCATCTGCAAATTTAACAGTAGTGTATGCCTGCAATTTACAATAAAGATAGTTCATATAACTTGTAATCAAGACCAGATCCATTTATCCAAACCTGCTATACTATACTCACCTGGAAAAAAATCAGGCAGATCATAGTCATATCTAATTATCAGTATAATAGAAACAGTGGTGGTCAGAGAATGCTATATTCTTCGATAATCAGTATAGTTCAAACTCAAGTAGATAAAATTTGAATAAAGACCACTTCACTTTAAAATATAAATAGAAACAATGGTGGTCAGAGAATACTATGTTTTCAAAGGCAATGTTTACATGGTATATACTGCTTTAAATTGATAATCACATCCTAACACTTTTCACGAAAAATAGAACTTCACATCTTTTTTGTACCAGAAGTCTCAATTTTGGCATTCATAATAAATTAAGTTACCAATAATAATTTAAAATCAAATGATTGATTTTGATCTAAAATTTCAACAGTAAACTTGAATGTTAGGTATCAACTGCCAAAATTTTCGAAGAAAGTACAAAGTAATCAATATAGCCAGTTTAGAAACTAGAAGTTAAAAAGGACACATGAAACTAGCAGCATCTTCCGAAAACAAAACTATAATTGTCAACATGAAAAAAAAGCATCCACAAAAAAAGTATATCTTAAACATATAATGGGTGTACATAAGTTTTCTTGACAAACATGAATGTAGAAGGCCTTATACCAAGCAAGTAAGAAGTACTTAAATATTGAATAATGAGAATCGTCACCTTAAATGATAGGAAGAGAAGTATTGCCGCCAATAGAAGGTTGACTGCCTGAAACCTCTAAACATCGGAGTATTAGTGAAAACATGACTATCAATAAAAAGTATAGATATTTTATTGAAAAAAAAATATGAAAAAAATTATGAGAAATGTATCCATCTTGAAAACACGCCTGAATGGTGGCTGTTCCAAAAATTATTATTGTCAAGCAAAAAACAACCACACCAGCAATACGATAGGAAAGTACACCATTTTGTAACTTAAATAAGAAGTGGAAGAAAACTATTCAAATAACTTATTAAAATAACATAAAAGTTTAAACTTCTCAAAGTTTACCGTTGACAATAAGGTTTATGCGTTACCTGATACAATGTTGGAACTTTGAAGTATTTGAATATTAGAACAAAAACAAAGAGATTATCCACTGAGAGACTTTGCTCCAATATGAAGCTATAAAAGTGAAGAAGATATGAACATCCAAGTTAATTAAAGTTAGTAAACAAATTAAGTATGGCTTAAGTTTTGTTTTCAGTCTTGCATCCACTAAAATTAAAATCATATTTAATTAATTAATTAATTAATCAATTAATTAATTAGTGATAAGAAAACACTAAGAATTGAAAACGGAAGCCAAACCCATCTTGAGTTGAGAAAGAAGAATTAAAAACAAATGAAAGATCTCCTTCTTTCGCATTCATAACCCAATAGATTATGAAAACTTAAGTGATCATGGAATAAAGGAATTAGGAACTTAACATAATATCCGGAACATGACAATATCGTTAGAGTAATTTATGTAAAAAAAATCAAATCTCTCGTGTTAATATTGAACATAAAACTTCTCATTGGATCAATATCAACCACAACACAGTGAAATGTATGCATAAAGACATAGAAACCTACACTTCGGTGTCGACACGACAAATTGGTGCAAGAGTGTCAAGGAGAATTAGCGGCGAAGTGGTTTGCAAGGGTTCGAAGGTGGTGTGCAGAGAATGGAAAAGTATTGTAATCAAATGTCTCACATAGATTACCCACAGTAGAAAATTGTTCCCAACATAGGCTACCAAGTCTAACTTATACGTAGAATTGGAAATGACTTACGTCTTACACACTGATAGAAAACCTCATAGTAGAAACTTGGTACTGGTTATGCTTTAATGACCAAGTTCTTTCTCAACTTATTAATGGATGCATCTTCCTCTTCCTATACAAATTATAGTGTCACAAACAATTTAGTTATTTAATATCTTAACATGTAAAAGTTAACCTAAGAGGATAAACCGAAATTGATCATGTTGATCTGTGTAACTCCACAACAAAGCCTTCTAGCTGGATCAGAATTTATGAATAGTAGTAATCGAATGACACTGGATGCATGTTTTCATCTTCTGTCCAAAGGTCTTGGAACTAGATAAATGACATTTATTGTTCTGCGAAACTTAGATGAACAATTCGAAATTCAAGTCACCAGAAATTTATACAACATTAGCAACAAAAAGAGGGAAGTGTTATGCCTAAAATCAACACACTAAGCATATTTTTATCGTATATCATATAGGATTTGATGAAAAGAGAAAAGTTTCATTGTACACATTATGAGATAGATAAATGATACTTAACCTTACACAATTTGCTTTATACTGTTTTAAGGAAAATTGTCCTTACCATGATCAGTTTTGCTTTGTTCTTAGAAATACTGGCCAATCAAAGTGTTGCAAATGTGTTAGCTCCAAACCATACATGAACACATAGAAAAATTATAAATAAGGAAAGTTAAAATAGAAAACTTCTATTTGCAATTTGAAAACAGTTTGGTGCCAAATATTTAAGAATTCATGCTTTAAGTTTTCACATGAATTTCTTGTTTCAAAAAGAGTACAACATTTATATTTCAAGATTAACATGAGTTCTTTCAAGAAAAATGTTCTACATGTTAACTCCATCTACTTACTTGAGCTTTATCTTATGGCTGCTTCTTCGGTTGAGCTCTTTTCTTCTCCTCAGCTTTCATAAGCATTCATATTTTCTCATATGCTCATCAATTTCAGGGGGAATCAGGCTCAAACATGTGTTGTAAATATATAATTTAATTAGAAACAAAGAAACATGCAAGGAAAAGAAGTATGTATATACAACAAAATCACAGTCATAACAAAATCCATATTAGTTTAGACCAAATGTTACTGCAATGAAATTTAGAATTCTAAAAATGTAAAAGAATACTCATGGCATATGCTCAATCAGCTAGGGTGTATAGGCTACTTACAAAAACACATTCAAATAAATGATCAAAGAAATCAAATGGTTGAAAGCATAAGCAAGTTCACCTCATCATGTTTTCCAAATAAAATAGACATGTTGAATATTTGGTTAGTAGACAACCCTTCTTCCTTCTTGGTGCTGAAACATCGGATGAAGAAATTCGATGTTGTCACAGAGACGGTGGGCGGAGAAGAACCATCGATTTTCTGAGAGAAAGGTTTGATGTGAATCAAGTTCAAGAGATATTGGATGAATTAATTCACGGGAGATTAGAGAGATAATTTAGGGTTTTTAAGATTTGAGGAATCAAAGGGTTCTGATTCGTATTTACATTTTGAGGAGAGAGGGAAAATGCAGCAAAAATGCACAAGATAAACATAGGGTTTTTCAAATTTTGGGGGTAAAATTAAAAAGAAGCGCTATAGTTAAAAATTAACAAAGGGTTCTTTTAGATTTGATGAAATTTAGTGAGAGTGGCCGAGCTAACCATCATGAAGATGAAGCGGAGGCAGATCTACAACTGTCGTGAAGATGAAGCGGAGGCAGATCTACAACCGCCGCAGCCATGTGCTGGTCCGTTCCACCATCTAGACCATATATTGAGTGAGTGTATTGTATTTAAAACATTGTGGCTGTTAAGGAAAACTGTCGCAAGTCCCACCGTGAACTTTAATTAAGGGCAGTTTTTAAGTACCCATCCTAAATCATGTGTCGCAAAATTGAATTTTCTTGTACTGATTCGACGATTGACGAGACACCATTCAGATTGATCTACGGCACCAAGGCCGTCATTCCGGTAGAAATCATGGAGCCATCTAGGCGAACAGAAATTCCCCTCAACGAGGAGATGAACGACGAGGCCCTAAGAGACGAGCTCGACCTAGTCGAAGAAATCTGATCAGGAGCAGTTATTCGCGAGGCCACGCTAAAACAGCAGGTAGCCCTACGCCATGACAACAAAGTCATAAAGCGTGAATTTCAGGTCAGCAGCCTAGTCTTGCGGAGAAACCTGAAAGATTCTCGCGAATGGAAACTTGTCGCAAAGTGGGAGGGGCCTTACCGCGTCTAGGGAGACACGGGCACTGGAGCATATTACCTCGAACGACTAAACGGAGAACCATTACCTTGACCCTAGAATGTTGCGTAGCTAAAGAAATATTATAGCTAAATCCCTCACCCACTAAGGGCGATAGCTGTCAACTAATCGTATCTGACCGACGAAGGGATGAGCTCGACCACGCGGGCGCGTCTTGGTACGTACGCAGCCTCCAAACATCGAAAGGCAAGAGGTTGCTCATTTGACGAGCAACAACTTAGCCCGACAGGGACACCTCAATCGAGCTCTGTTGTCGAAGTACCCAACATGGCAGAACACCCATCTCGCGATGGGCAATTCACGCCACGAGCGTAGGATCCCGACCGCGATCATACGCTCATTCCGCGGATCTCTACTTCGCACCCTCGACACATCTCAACATGTCCCGAACAAATATTAGGGTCGAGCACACATCTCCACGTGGAAAACACGAAACTCCATGAAAATTATATATCGACCACAATAAAGGTCGAACGCATATCCATACGGAATATCCAAATATTTAGGGAGTAAATAAGTCAAATGCTGTGACGAACAAAAATAATAATAAGCTAACATCAGCAAAAACATGGGCAGCAAAGCAAAGCAAAAAAAAATTGTAAATGTCGACCACTAGAGTCGGCGATGTCTGAATATTACAAAAATTACGGGCACGCAGGCCCAATTACAATTCACTTATCAAAAGGAAAAAACTAATCGCTCCTCAGAGTACTGGCTTCATCCTCGAGAGAATCAGGGGGAGGGACGACCCGACCATCGACCACCTGGGACAGAACCCCAGTTCCTTCGGTGTTAAGCCTCGGGTTCAGAACAGACAGTTGGTTCAGGACAACTTCGAAACCGTCGGCCAAGGCGTCGACACAGTCCGACTCGAGAATCTGAATCCTGGCAACGAAATCTGCGCGAGTGCGCAAATCAGTTACACTCTCGAGCTAGTCCTCCGCGGACGCCATTTCGGCCTTCAGATTCGCAACTTCCTTCTCTAACCGATCCCTTTCGCTCTCCCACAAATCCCGTTCAAGCAGGAGATTGTCCCTTTCCTCAAGGGCTTTGTCAGCTCTCTCTCTGTTCCTGGAACTTCTCTTCACTTTGTTCCAGGGTAGTCTTCAGCTTCTGTGTCTTCGCTTGAAGAGTCATATTCTCTTATTCCAGTTCTTTTACCCGACCTGAGGAGCTAGCCCCTTCACTCGCGAGGACCACGTCCATCTCCACCATCTTCATCACCCCGACCATGCTGGAAGCCAGGTGCTTCCTTCTGTCTTCGTCGTCGAGTCTCCTTATGATATCAGACTCATTGTCGGATAAAATTAGAGGGAAGCCCTCAAAGAAATCCTTCTCTACGAAGCAAAGTGGGAGGATGAAGGCTCAAGTAGTAGCCCCTCTGGTCACATCAATAGTCCCATTCGTCGGGCGACTTCTTATCCTACCCAACGCGGCAGCTTGCTGGTCGGCCACGCGGGTCCCTGACGAGCCACTAGATCCTTCCCTGGCGGCTCAGAAACTGACCCCGTGCGTGTAGGATGATGCGGCTTCACCAGCCTCTTGTGACTTTTCTTATCTTGGGTCAGCTTCAACAGCCTCTCACGATGTTCTGCCATGTTGCCTACAAAACAAAAAGTATCCTCGGGTCAGCCTCGAGAAAACAAAACAAGAAAGCAAGTAAAAATATAAGAACTAAGAAAATAAAGGCCTAAAAGTGCCACGGCTTGTCCATAAGATCGACACTCGACCAACACCTTGGTATTGATCGGGCGCGCCTCGAACATCAGCTCTCCGTCTTCATCAAGGATATTGTGTCCTTCCTTCGTGACCCACCAGGAGGGGAAGAAACCGTCGACAAATCGATTGAGGACGCCATATGCCTCTTCGTCATTGGCGCTCATACCGCAGGAGGAAGTGTGGTAATGTCCGGGACCATGGTCATAATGGGTCGAACACCAGTGGATGGGAAACTTCGAGATTCTCCCGATCTCCAGATTACCCTCGGTGTCGTAGCACGATTCTCCATCCTCGTCCATGATGGAAGTCGGGTCGAACAGCGCACCCAAGGCTGTTTGGGTGGAGGGTTGCAAGACATACCACCTGTCCTTAAAGTCACAGACATAATCCATATACATCCTGAACAGAGAAATGGTCATGAGGTTGTTTAAGAGATACCCATATGTGTTTCCCTCCCCGGGACTGCCTTTGTAGATGAAAAACTCTGAAGAACAGGGGAATGGTCTCCCCGATCCTCAGTAACTGACAAGTAAGTTGGAATTCCAGGATGAAGGCAATAGCGTTAGGATGAAGCTGAGGGGGTGCCAAGTTCAAGTGATTGAACACCCCTATTTGGAAGTCGTTGAAGGGAAGACGGAGTCTTAGGTCTTTGAATACGACCTCGTACATAGGGAAAGCATCTTGGGTGAACTCCGAGCATATGCGAGTATCTGGCATCAGCCTCATGAACTTGAAGTTCCTCTAAAAACCCTCTTGGTTGCCGCTATACTCGACGACAGTATAGGCTTGCCTCCCGGGATGACAAAAGGCCGAGACTATTCCTCAGGGATCTGCACCAACACAATCCAAAGCAGGATCGTTAATTGTGTCGACCAAATTGGCTACATTGGTCTCCTCATTGTCAACATGCTCTGACAATTCAGGAGTGTCAGTCATTTACCTGTAAAGTAGAGGAAACCAGTGAGTTCGACAGCAAATCCGAATCCACCTTTCCACGATGCATATGAAGAGGCTAAGCAACACCCAAAGCAAGTCGACAGTCATTCGCACAGAAAGGGGAAACACATGCCTCCCGATTGATCCATGAAAATCATGCCAGTCTTATAAGATCACACAATAATAATAATGACAAACATTTTTCATGAATACACCGGGCACAGGAAGAGTACGGCGGGCAGAGTATGAGTTTATCGACCAAACTTATGAATTTGTCAACCAAACTCATGAATTTGTCAACCAAACTCATGAATTCACCGGGGATCGCAACAATTTTGTGTGAAAACTCATGAGTTTCGCGGGGACATAGGGAGACCACGGGAAAGATTCATCTAAGTCTCGATGAGAAGATGAATCTCCCGGGCATAATCACAAATTATACACCTAAACCCATGGATTCCCTAGGTAAAACCCCCAGTCACTAAGTTCTACTACCAAAACATCATCAAAAACAATCTACGTATATAGTATAACAGAAGAAATGCTTACTTGAAGAAGAATAGATGAAGAACGACGGTGGTAAGTAGGGAATATGCGGCGGAACGTGCAGAGGTTTCGGCGGTTGCAGAGGACACCACGGTGTTGGAAGCAGAGAAAGGGGAGAGCGTGAAAATATAAAAGGGAATAATGAGCCTTGAAGCGCTATTTATAGGGCTGACGTGGAATGCGAAACATCGTGCCGGGAAGTTCATAAGCCGCCTTTATCCTCGACACCTATGTGCTCTGTCAATGATGACCCCTATTTTCTAGGCCATCATTGATATCCCAAAGGTCATGCCACGTGGATGGCAGGTGCGCTATCTCCTCCCTGCGAGTCGAGGGACAATTATAACAATTCCACCTCGAATCCTTTCCGAATTCTGCTCGGATAAACAACGTACCGACGACACTCTCCGTCAAATTCAATGAAAACCACATGTCGAACAGCTCGCCTCGCGAAAGAAAAAGCTGGACATTAAGTCATAAATCCTTCATCAGGAACAACGACTTGGGGGGCTCCTATTCTGGACTGGGCCTACTCTTGGCCCAACACCATGTGAGGCCCAATCTAATTATGTCGTCCAAAGCATGTTGGAACAGGTTTGCCCTCGACTACATCGGGAAATGACTACTCCCCGCGAGGAGATAGCCTCGCCGCACGGGGATGAACCCTGTTACCCTTAGGAAGATCACCACCGGCAAGGAGGACCTCGAGGTCACGCGACAATCCTCTCCCCGACCAATAATGGTCCTATCACATGACCTCTCGGTCAGCGGGAGTATCCACGACAAGCAAAAGCACCTCACATGCATACTCCTCGTAGGACTGACTATCAACACCTCCGAGTATCATGGAGTCTTCGTGGCCCCAGAAAGACCGCTTCCATATCCTCCTGATCTTGCGAAGAAAGTCATCCAGGTAGGAGATCACGTGCGGGTCCCCACTACTCACGTAGGACCTGACAGTCTCCATGTTAGGCCTACTTGACCAGCCTAATGAGGAGACTTTGGGCCAACGCTGGGGTGAGAGGGTTATTGTATACTGCAAATCATAATTTAGGGTGAGAGGGTTATTTGTTATTCTTGTAATCTTGATTTAAGAGAAAGTAAAGAATAACAAATATAACCAATCCTTATTTTGTTAATCTTGTTTATCATCTTTTTTATCCTTGAAGGTTTCCCTCTAATAAGGAAACTTG